GAGCGACGGCCGCGGACCCTCCGCGTCCCCAGCACGCCAGCCGTGCGCGGCTAGGGGACCCGCCCAGCCCGGCCCCGGGACACACGGCCCACGCGGGTGACAAATCCACGCACTCTTCGGGCGTGTGACCTCAGCCACGCGGGTCCTTCCCGCGCGAGGGCGGCTCCCCTGGCTGCCCGGGTCACCCCATGTTTGCCCCCCAACCTGGCTGCCATGAGGAGCTTTCAGCCCCGTCCTGATGAAGCTGGGGTCTCTGGAGGGAAGCCCGGGGCCGGGGCGGGTTCGGTGGAAGCTGGGCAGTGGGGAGCAGTCAGGACCTCAGGGCCTGCCTCCCTCTCCTGGGCCACCCCCATCAGCATGAACAGGACAGGTAAGGCCTGGCCAGGTGAGCAGCCCCAGGTAAGGTGCCAAGGACTGCTCTGAAGGGAACTCTGAGATAACTCATTTCCAAACTGTAAGCCCATTTTGTATTGACACCTCCCTCAAATTCCCTCATTAGGAGTTTACGGTTTACAGCCCGGCTGTGTTTGCTGGAAATTAAGGAGGAATGATTCTCAGAGCAGTAGGCCCTGGGCAGCGGAACAGCACGCAGGGACTTGCATTCCTTCAGAAGCCGGCTGGGAATTCCCGAGGAGGCAGCTCTGGGCCTCAGCTGGGGAGACCACCCTGTTAGGCCTTGTCTGGGGATGGACTCCCGTGGGTGTCTGCCCCATGCCCTCCATGCCTTGAGACCCATGTGGGTGTGCCCCCACCCTGCTCCATGCTCTGGGAGGGGCACAGCCAAACTGCAGGAAAAACTGGGCAACGCCACCCCAGGGCTGTCCACCTCCCGCTAGCTGCCCTCAGACCTGACCCTGGCTGACTCCCCTGGGGTCCTCCTGGTGCCCAGGGTTGCTCTGGTCTTCCTGAGGCTGGTGGTCCAGCCATTCTGCTCAGACCTGCTCCCCCACAACCCGCCCCCCCCACACACACACACTGTGCACATGGGTAAGCCCAAGGCTGAGCAGAGATGGGAGCCCGGAACCAGGACCTGTGCTCTGCAGGCCCAGGGTGTGACCGGAAGATGCCACTGCCATCGGGAGCCCCTACCTCGTCCCGCTTGTCCTGCAGGGATGTTTCCTTGGGCTCAGTAAGGGGGCCTGGGATCAGTTGATGCTGGACTGTGAACACCTGGACCCTGACCATCTCCAGCACCTGATCACCTCCAACCCCTGGCCCCCCCCACCCCCCGCTGGCCCAGGGACAAGAGTGTGGGTGCCCTGGGAGGCTGAGCCAAGGCCACACTGGGCCCTGTTCACCTGGGCCCATCTTCACCTCTGGTCAGGGACCCTTGGAGCGGGTAAGCGTGTGCCCCTGCACAGGGCTGTGACCCCCTGGGCACACGCCACCCTGCTGCCCGTTGCTCCCTGGAATGGGGCGGGGCTGGGCTGGAGGGCGGATGCTCTGAGAGCATGTTTGGGTGGGCAGGAGTTCCTTCCTGGTCACATCTGGGTTTTTCTTGTATCTGCTGAGTCCCAGACGTGCCCAGGGCCATCCCTGGAAGGTGGTGGGTTCACAGACAGGCCCCAGCCCAGGTGGGCTCAGGCCCCCCGGCCTGGAGAAGGGCATCTGGAGACCCGCTGGGCCCGGGAGCAGAGCCTGGGAGAAAAGTCCCATTCACACCCGCAGCAGGCGTCAGGGCAGGCAGACAAAGGGGCCCTGTGAGCTCAGTGTGGGAATGCGCGGCCGCCACCACGGGCCATGAAATTGGTGGCTCAGGCGCCCTGGCAGGGACAGGGACAGGGTGGCTGGAGTGGCCACGGGAGCCTGGCCTGAGGTTACCGCCTGCTCCACCCAGGGTTCGGAGAGAGGGTCAGACAGGTGTGGGGGGACCTGCTGCTGCTGTGCGGCCATCACTCGAGCCCCACCCCCCACGCCCAGCGGCTTATCTCTGGGGCTCAGGTGACAGCCACACTGTCCACGGGGAGCTGACAGGACGCCTGTGGCTAGTGTTCCTCCAACGTGGCCAAGTTGCTCTGGTCCACACCCCATGTCCCCAGAGTTACCCCATTGGAGGACGTGAGGGGGAGAGGGTGTGGGGGGCACCAGCTCCCAGGAAGCGCTTCCTAAATGTTTGCTGAAGGAAGCATCCAAAGGATGACATTTGTTCCGAATGCCTTGGAGGGAGGGAGGGGCCCCTGTGCCAGGCCCTGCCCAGGAGCTTAGAGAAGCCCCCCTCCCGTGTTTGTGGGTTCCTTGGCGTTGTCGTCACCTCCACAAACAGGCAAGGAGTTCACTGGCTCTCCAGGAGAAGCCCCCAACCTGGGATCTGAGGGGCACACAACCCCCACTACAAGGCTGGACCCTGTCCTTCTCCTGGGGGCTGGCCCAGGGGTGCCACCTGGAAGGTGATGGCGGGGTGGAGGCCAGAGTTGGAGAGGGTCCCCTTCTCCCTCCAGGGACCCTCTTCCTTTGGAGGTTCAGAGCAGTGGGTGGTGGTGGAGCAATGCAGGCAGCTTGGGGAGCATTCTTGACCTGGGCTGGGAAGGTCTGGGTGGGGCGGCTAGGAGAGGACAGTGGTGAAGGGGCGGCTGGCCAGCGCTGGGCCGAGGCCTGCGGCCACCTTAAAGGCCTAGGCAGGGGAGGGAGGGCGAGCGGGCAGGCGGGCAGTGGGGGCGGGGCTTCCAGCTAATTCATTAAAATGTGTCGGGGAGCGTGGGAAAGAGGAGAGTGTTTCTTCCCAGCAGCCCAGACACCTGGTAGAAGGGCCGAGAGAGGATAGAGATCAAATAACAAACACTCAGCCCCGGGCCAGCAGCGGCCGGAGCAGAGGAAGGACGCCCGGGCGGAACTGCAGCAGACAATCGCTGCCGCGGCTCCTGCCCACCCGGCTGGCCGCTCAGGGCACGGCCTGGCACCGGGGCCACAGCCCACCCTGTCCGCCTGGTGTCTGACCCCTAGCTTGATCCTGGGGCCGAGGGAGGCACTTTGGGCTGACCCCTGACGGCTCAGGACCTGCGATGGGGGGCTGGCGCCTGGCGTGGGGGGCCCCAGAGCCAGGGTAGGCTGGCAGTGAGCATGTGGGCCCAGAATGGGGGTGTCCCCAGAGAGACACAGCCAGTCTGGGCAGCAGACGGGTGGGGAGGTGGGAGGGCAGGCTGGACAGTGTAGAGGTGCGGCCATGAGGACCTCGCTGAGAACAGGTCCTGGTTAGCTGCCCTCTCCTCTTTCTAGAAGTTGCACAGGGCGGAAGGGCAGAGTGGGGCTGGGGCTGGACCTGCCTGGAGAGATGGGAAGGACACACGGTCTCCCGTCTTCTGAGCCCGAGGTTCCCGGCCTCTTGCTGGCTCCAGCCTCTGTCTGTTTGGGGCTGGCTGCAACACCAGGGTCTCGGGTCAGAGCAGAGTCTCCAGGATGTAGCTGGCCTGGGAAGTGGGCCTGGCACCCCCAGCTGCTTCCTCTTACCTCTATGGGGGAAGGAGTGTGGTCGGGGCTGCCTCCCCAGGACAGGACATGGGGCCAGAGGTCACGCTCCTGGAAGCAGCACTCCAGCCACAGAGGGTCGCCACCCCGGTGGGGTGCAGCTCACCTGCTCACCTTGGCGCCTGACCCTCAACTCAGCAGGGCCCTTGGGGAGGAGGAAGGCCAGGGTTGCCTGCTCTGCCTGGGCCAGCCAGTGGACCTCCATCTTTGGAGTGGTGCCCTGGCCCAGCTGCCCCGGGGCTGCTGGGGGCTGAGTGGGCTGGCGCTCCAAGGGAAAGGACGGGAAGTGGAGTGTGGCAGGATCCTGTGCAGTCCCCTGCACAAGCCCCCACCCCCACGGGGGCTGCACCCCTGGGGGGCCAGGGCAGTGGCCAGGAGCCCAGGGACGGGGCAGAGGCTGGCCTGGCATTGCCGATGCCCACCTGGGCCTGCAGGTGCGTCTGCTCTGGGCAGAGGTGGCAGCCCCGAGCCAGCCCCCAGGTCCCAATAGCCCCGAGGCTTCCGTCTGGGCTCCTCGGCCAAATCCGAGCTGGTTTCCGCTCCAGGCAGGAAAGACAGGAAAGGGATGTGAGGGAGGGAGGGGGCGCATTCCTGGGGGGTGAGCCAGGAGGAGGTGGCGAGGGCAAGAAAGAGTCTGGGACCAGGCCGACTGCTCGCAGAAGCCCCTACCCAGAGCCCCCTTCCTCTGGCGCCCCTCTCCCCGCTACGCCTGGCACTGGTGCCCTCAGCCCTCTGGTGCCAGCAACAGGTCTGAGCCTCAGTTTCCCCCAGAGCAGGTATAGCAGCAGCTACTTCCTGAAATTGTGAGGACGGAGGTGCAAACACACATGTGTGCAGGGCACTCCCACGTGGCTGTGGTTGCTGGTTTCTCTCACGAAAGGCCACCCAGGCCTGACCTGGGGGTGAGGGAAAGGCCCAGGGGTCAGGCCCTGGCCAGGGAGGGGGCCCGGGCAGCAGACTTGGGGAAGCCAGCCTCCCCTCCAGGCTGTGGCCTTCCTCCGGGGTGGCTGCTCTGCCTCCCACACCTGGCTGGGCTAGGGCCTGGTCCCCAGGAAGCCCCCAACCTGGCCTAAAGGGCCCGGCCCCCCAGGATCCCACCATCCACGCTCCCTGGAGTTGGGGCCCTGGAGGGTCTGGAGGCCGGCCTGGCGAGGGCCCTGGGACCTGCTGAGGGGCAGCAAGGACGACCCTGTCCTGCCGGGCCTGGAGGCTTGTGGCATGTACTGCCACTGCAGGGAGGGTGGGCCACCCAGCGTACGGGGCCTGTCCGCCCCACCCCATCCCTCCGGGCCCACTGGGCTCCAGCCGACTTGGGGAGCCACCTCGGTCCAGCCCTTGGGCCTTTGCCCAGGCCATTTCCTCCACCGGACGTGCCCTTCCCACCTCCCGCCCGCCGCATTCCTGAGCACCAGGCAGTTCTCCGCTCAGGGTCTGGGCATTCTGACCATGTGGAAACCTTCGTCCTCCCAGACAGCCTGGGGGGCTGGGCCTCAGGTGTGTGGATGGAGCGAGGACAGGAAGAGTCAGTGGCTAGCTCCCACCTTCACACTTTATTGTCGGCTGCCCGGCCCGCCCCCAGGGGCCTGGGGCCCAGTCCTCATGAGGGGCTGCGGGCTGGGCGCGCAGGAGCCGGGGGCACTGTCCAGGACCTCGCGGAAGTTCGCAGCGACGCGGCCCAGGTGGGAGCCCTCCCAGAAGACCTTGCCGCAGCCAGCGCAGCAGTAGAAGTGCTGCAGCCCCGGGCGCCGCAGCACGCCTGCCGGGACCCCGGCCAGCTGCAGCTGGGCACCGTTTCCCAGTGTGGCTGGCGCGCTGGCCCGCAGGTCCGATGCCTCCAGCCAGCGGCAAGGGGGGTCATAGGTGCTGTCCCCAGGGGCCTCCGCTGGGGTGGAGCCTGGACAGGTGGAGGCAGCCACCCTGAGCCCCGGCCTCTCGGCATGCGGCCCCCACCCCACGCCAGCAACTCCTCCCTGTTTCCCACCCACCCAACCCTCTGCCTCATCTGACCCAGAAGCCCCGGGTTACAGACCACTGACCCCGGGCCTCCACCCCTACCCAGGGCACAGGGTCCAACCCTTCCGAGCTGTCTCCTCTGCTGGGCCAGGACCCAAACCCCGTCTTTGGGTTTAGGTGCCAGGGGCCCTGTGTGTCCTCGGGGGGCGGCCCCAGTGCTCACCCGGCTCCTGGGCGTCCTTGCTCTGGGTGGCCTCGTCACCTGTCAATCAAGGACGTCAGGGACTCCCAGGACAGTCAGCAACCCCAGCACCCACCACACACCTCCAAGTGCCCAGCCTCTGCCCCATCCCCAGCGGAGAGAGCAAAGGGCAGGAGACCAAGAACCTTCGGTGCCAGCCCAGTCCCCTCCCATGGGAACTCACACCTTGGAAGGTTCTTGGGTCTCAAAGGTCCTTGGGAAACATGTTCTGGACACGAGGATTACGGCATTCGGGGGCCTGAGAACGGCAGCGGGCGGGGCGGGGGTGGCCCATCTGTGGCGATGAGCAGATAAGCCCACTGCCAAGCAGCGTGTTTCGTAAGCAGCCAGCACTAGGGTGGGTGGGGACCCAGAGGACCCGCCGGAGCTCAGGGTGCGGGGAGAGACCCCGGTGTGTGGCTCCTTCTGACCCTGTGAGGGGGCCTCACCCCCACTGAGACACAGGGAGATGACGAGGCCGCTGGCAGCTGAGGGCCCAGTGTGGGGCCGAGGGCAGCGATGGCTGAGGAGCATTGGCCAGCAGGTGGGAGAGGTCCTCCCCAATCCTGCTGACCCTCGTAATTTGCTCGGCAAACATTCCTCTACAGATGGCTCCAGATGAACTGCGGCAGGGGCCTGAATGGATGGGCTCCTTGGAGCCCAGCAAGGCCACGACCTCCATCTGGCCTCCCTGCCTCGCCCTAGCCCGTCTGGCCCCAGCCCTTACCCGGTGACCCCAGAGACACCACACAGCCCACAGGGGCACTGCCTACCACCCCAGGCCAAATGCGAGGCTCTGGGCGGTGTGGTGAGGGCTCAGAGGGGGCTGGAGCCTGGTGGCCCCAGCAGAGGGCACTGCTCACGTGCTGCTCCCCCCTTCCCAGCCTCGAGCATGTCAAGGCCACACTCCAGAGAGCGGAGAGCTGCCTGGGGCTGGACACAGGCAGTCATGACGGCTCACCCACCATGTGGGTGGCCCGGAACCTCAGAGAGAGGCGGGAAGGACAAGGGCAGGATCCTGAAGAGGCACCCGCTGTGCAAGGGGAGCCTGGCCTCGGGCTAACCACAGAGAGCGCCCCAAGCCACCCTTCTCTGCACCCCATCCCTGCCCTCCACTGAGGAGGGGCAGCTGGGGCCCTCCAGGGCCCCCTCTGCTGGGACCCCTCTCTCTGGAAAGTGGGGGAGCCAGTGGTACGAACGGCAGGCCCATTCACTGCCCCAGCTGCCAACTTCAAATCTTGGGGTGCCCTGCAGCCTCCTCTTTCTAGTCTTACAAAAAGGGAAAGTGAGGCTGGGTCCCTGGGTAGGACCTGGCCAGGTGGGGAGGCACACATCTGGTGCTTGCCCGTCTTCCGGTCTGCCCAGGCTCGTCTATGTCCAGACTGTGTACACGGGGACACAAGCAACTGTGTGTGCTCTTGTGAGTGTTCCTGTGAACGAGTGTGCATGGTCCTGCACGTGAGTGTGCATGTGTCTGTGAGCGTGCATGTGTGTCTTTGCATGCAGGGTGCACGTGTGTATGTGTGTGTGTGTGCCGGTGTTGAGCACGGCCCACTGGAGAGCGAGTGTTGCACACCACCCCAGCGGGGCCTGAGTGCCGGAGCCTCCTGGTCCCCTGGGTCGGGGGCCTCACACTGTGCAGAGAGGGCTGGGGCCGAGGGGCCCCTTCCTAGCCGCGAGTGCCGTCTTTCCACCTGGCGGCACCTTGCCATCAGCCCCCTGGCCAGCAACCTGCTGGCCATCCCTGCAGTTTAGCCCCAGAGCACCCAGCAGGTGGGCCGCCACCCACAGACCCCACCAAGCCCGCCTGACCCTGTGGGGTGCACTCACCTGTGCTGCTGGGGCCCTCCTGGTGGCCAATGAGCCCCATGAGCTGCTTCATCATGTCCTTGGAGACCTTCAGGTACTGGTCACAGTTACAGGCCTGGGGGCGGAGGAGGTGCTGAGGCCAGGGGAGGCTCCCTCCATCCCCCCACTCCCAGCCCCATGCTCCCTGCAGCTCTGGGTCTGGCCAAGGTGTTTCACGGAGAAAAATGACACATTCCTTCCTCTTCCCGCAGGACCACAGGGCACACCACCTCCTGGGAGCCCTCCCTGACTACACCAGCTCCCAGTGGGCCCTGGGCGCCCTCTTCCAGCTCCTGAGACCCTGCAGGACCCCGTCATCACCCGGCTGTCCTCCCCAACCCCAGAGCCCGTGAGGGCAGAGCCATGCCTGGGTCCCCACTGGGCCGGACCTGGGGGACGCAGGGCCCAGCTTTCAAGGGTCAGGGTGGGCAACCCTACAGCTGCCCTGACCCCTCAGCCATCTCAGGGCAAGCCGGGGCCATTTCAGTGTCCATGTTTCTTGACAATGCATGGTGGCTGCCCTGCCTCAGGAGCACCAAGTCCGTGAGGGGGCAGGAGTGAAGCTACTTCTGCTGCTTTGCAGAGACCTTGTCTAGGACTTGCAGTGGACTCCCAGGAGGAGCTCAGCTCAGCCCTGCTGACCTTACGAAGACCCTGGGTGTGGGGGTGGGGGTTTGTGGGGTCCATCCTGCCCTCCCAATGCGGCCACCCCAGGGCTGCCCCGTGAAGGTCACTGCCCGGCAGGGAGGCGGGTCTGGACCCCAGGATTCCCAAGGCGAGGCAGGGAGGGCCCCGCGGGAGGGCAGGAGGGGCTGGGTGCCCGCTGAGACCCGGCTCCCAGGCAGGTATGCGCAGGTACCCATGGAGACAGCCCTTCTGGACGTGGGAGCAGCCTGCGGGAGGAGGGCGAGCCAAGGGCAGGACCTGGGGGGTTCTCAGGCTGCAGGGAGGAGGGGCCCCTGCCTGTGCTCCTCCGGCCCCTCCTGGATGAGCGCCAGCGCCCTGGATGACATGGCTTCCGGGGCGGGTGGGTAGGTGGCAGCCACAGGCTACCCTGGAGCTACAGGGCGTGCCCACGTCAGGGGCCCTGCCCTGCCCCCACCCGCCCTTTTCCCACGGGCCTTTCGACACCACTACCTGTGGCCTCACTGCTCCACCTCCAGCATCGCAGTTGGCTGAGGGGCCGGGGCCTGGGGGTGCTGGATGGGTGGGGCCACCCCTGCTAGGAGGCCCAGGCTAGCTGATCCCCAGGCAGGACCCTCCTCCCCACCCCTCTGGGGGCCCTCCTGTCCCCCTGACCACCTCTCCCAGCCAGACTCTGGACTGGCTTTGGGCACAGGGAGGCTGCTGTGGGCCCTGCCTTCCTGATTGCAGATCCAGGGGGCTTCCTGGGACAGGAGAGCAGGCAGAGCCCTGGCTGCAGATCTGGCCTGTGGTCACTCCAGGTCCAGTTGGGGAAGAAGCTGAGAACAAACGGGCAGTCTAGTCTCTGGCCGTTGCCCTGGGCTGCCTGCCACAGAGGCCCATGCTCTCCCTGTCCAGGCCCCAAGGGGACAGTGCCAGCAGGTGTGGGAGGGATGACACAGTGGCAGGAGAGTAGGGTGGGGTCATCTGTGAGGGGTCTGCCAGACTTCCCAGGACCTGGGGCCGGTGTGCACATCTGGGCGGGGCCGCCAGCTCATGCTGAGTCACCACATGCAGACAAATGCCCAGTGCCCTCCGCAAGGACCTGGCCCCACCCTCGGGAACCACCGGTGCTGGTTTTCCCACGGCGGCTGCCCACTCTTGGGCCTTGCTGTCACCCTGATAGGCCCTGGGAGGCCCTGCCCGCCCCCGGCTGGAAAAGCCGGTTCTGCGCCTGCTGGCCCCCCTTGCCCTGTGTTTCCCATCCACAGGAGGGCCCAACACCGAGGGCCTCCCTGTCCATCTCCTGCTCTGGGGTCAAGCAACCCTTGCCTGACCATCCACTGTGGGCAGGCAGCAGCCACCCCTCAAGGGAGGCTGTGGCCCTGCCCTTGGCCAGGTACAGGCCTGGCCTCCCTGACACTGAGGGAGCGGAGCCTCTGCCCTCCCACTGTGAAAGGGGGCTCCGGAGGTCACACAGCCCTCAGCTGGCCAGAACCCCACACCAGGGTCCTCCGTCCTCACACTGCCCCACCAGGGGGCGTGGGCAGGCGGCCTCTGAGCCATGCCCCTCCCCCGAGTGGAACGTGCAGACCCCAGCCTTGGGATGCCAGTGGGTCTGGGCAGAGACCAATAGGTGGTGGTGGGGGGCTCTGGACAGGTGTGGTCCCGTGGGTCCGACCCAGTCTCGGCACATGCCATCTAGTCTGAGAGCCTGAGGGCAGGGCCGGCCTCCACGCCCCCCCAGCCCGCTGGGTGGGAGGGGCCTGGTGAGTTGGGGGTAGGAGGGGCTGGGAAGGCTCCTGGCTCCGTGGTCCCAGGGGTCTGCCTGCGCACCTGGTTCCCATGGCTCCCACTGCTCGGAGCCCACGCTTACCGTGCCGCCTGACTCAGGGCACAACCAGGGACTGCCTGGGGCATGGGGGCGAGGCTGCCTCCCATGGGCTGGGCCTCCAGCAGGGACTGGTCCTGGGGACTGGTGGGGCTCGTGGATCCGCAGCCAGGCAGGTCCAACCTGGTGGTCCAGCCTCTGCAGCCCCCTGCTTCCCCAGACCCGAGGAGGGTGGGAAAGGGCTGCTCGGGTGCACCCTGGCACACCACAGCCTTGCTGGGCTTCGCGGGTGTCTGAGGAGGGGCTGCAACAGGCACTGGGACACCTGCCGGTTCCTCTGAGTGAGGCTGAGACTTGGCGGGGGGCAGCTGCAGTGGGCCTGCTCTCAGCGCTGGGCCCAGGAATCCCAGCCACACTTGCCCAGGGGAGTGAGCTCGGTCCGCAGAGCCAGAACCGAGTGAGGCAAAGTCACGGCGTCTGTCCTGAACCGCATGTCCCCAGGAATGTCTGTCCCCACCAGTCCCGGGTGCATGGGCCACACATGCCTGCCCTGGTCTGTGGGCCTGCAGGTGTCTGCTGCACACGCACGGAACAGGGGACGGCTGCCTGGTGCACAGGCGTGGGGGAGTGAAGAGGGCTCAGGGGCAGGCCGCAGCCAGGGCCCCGGAATGTGGTGGGCAGGGCCAGGAGGCGGCCACAGAGGGGTCCTTGCACGTGCTCCTCCCCCGAGCCCACCGGTCCCTCCCAGGGCCAAGGACTGGCGGCCGCCTTTAAACACCCCAAAGCCCCAACAACCCTGGGCCCCGGGCCTCCCTGAGTGGGGTGCTGAGGGTGAGGGGAGGCTGGGATGAGCCTGGGTCCCCCATGGCACAGGGCGTGAGAAAGAACCTGCGCTCCCGAGGGAGCAGGGAAGCAGGAAGTGGCCTGTCCAGGCTGGGATCCGAGTGAAGGGGCCCACTCCCGAGGAGGACTTGGGTGAGGCTCCCTGCCCAGCCAGCAAGCCAGGCCTGTGACCTGAGCTCCCCCCCGCCGGCAGGCTGCCCCGGGAATTCCCACGGCCCCCGCTCTCCCTGCCCAGCAGGCTTCTGGCACAGGAGAGGCTCAGGCCCCACCTCCCAGCTGGGAGAGAGGGCCAGCCACTCGGTATCCTGGTCTGAGGGCTTTCCACTCTGTGCCCAGACCAGGCACCAATTCCCCGAGAGCGCATGGGACCCCCTGCTTCTGAGCAAGGGGCAGGCTTGTGGAAACCTTGGCTCTGGCCTAATGGCCAGTGCTGCTGGGGCTCCAAGCATGGCCCCGCCTGCCCCTGCAGCCCCCACCCAGCGGGAGCCAGGGGATGGAAGTGAGGTCAGTCTGGTGCCCAGGTCCTGGGAAACCCCGTTCTGGGATTTCTGACCCCACAGGCAGGGAGGATGGGGGCTTGGGCTTTAGAGTGATGGGTCATTTCTTGCTCATTTAGTGCAAAGGGGGAGAGGAGAAGAAAACAGACATTTCCCCTTCCCAGCACTTGGCGAGAGAAACACCAGCATGGCGTTGAGGGGTTTCTGGCAACTTCCACGAGCACACCTACACACGGTGAGTGTCTCAGACACTCACATCAGGCGAGTGGAGTTAACAGGTGGGTCTCAGCTTCAGGACGCCAGTGTCGTGTCCCCAGGGCACTTGTCCATTTGGTCCCTGCCAAGTGCTACCCCCCACTGTCCACCCTTGCCATCCCGGGACGGGACCGGCGGGTTCCAAGGCCTCCCCAGGCTGGCTGGTCCACTTTGACTCCCCAGAGCTGCCCCAACAAATGGTGCCGGCTGCAGAGACAAAGGGCTAAGATGAAAGGTCCCTGGCCTGGGCTGTTGGCCTGACACCTCGCTGGACAGGGTGGGACTGTGGCCCTGGAGGAAGCAATTAGATTCTGCCTGCCTGCCGGCTGGGGCCTGGGTCTGCTCCACACCTCACTCTCCCACGCTGTCCTGCCTGTACCTTGTGGGGCCCTTCGCCATCTGCCCCCAAAGGTGACGTGACCCAGGAGCCGGGAAGATCCCACTGGCTCCAGCCCTGGGCACAGCTCCTCCTGGTTTGGCCTGATCTTCCACTGGAGACAGGCTCAGGGTCCAGCAAGGGGCACACGCTGGGGGCAGAAGGGCCAGGCCCCAGGCCCCAGGGAGGCTCGGGGCTGGGGATGGTAAGCTGGCTTGCACCAGGTGGGGGTGGGTGTTAAAACCCAACAATAGTGCTCTTCTGGCCCCACGAAGCAGGCTTTCAGACCCCCAGCTGGCAGCCTCCACCCCCAAAGCTCCCGGCCCTCAGGCACTGTCAGCTTTGTGCAGCTCCCCTGGGGGGTCAGGGCCACGAGTGCTGGGGCTCTGCACGTGTGCTTCTCATGGCACCCAGGTGTGTGGAGTGCGAGAGCGAACTCCCAGCATCGGAGTGGCTGAGGGTGAGTTCCTGTGAGCATGTCAGGGGCATGAACACGGCAGTGCGTGTGACTGCACGTGTCAGGGGTGTGGACACGGCCTGTGTGACTGGGCGTGCCGAGTGTGAATGTGGGGGGTGTGTGTGGCAGCGGGAGTGGATGTGACTTCACGTGGGAGCGTGTCTGTGTGAGCAGGCTGCGTGCACCCACCAGG